TTTGGTTTTTCTCCGGTACCAGGAACCGAACTCACGACCTTGCGCTTGCCAGGCAGGTGCTTTGCCGCTGAGCTAAATCCCCAGCCCCATGGAGATTAATTTGGACAACAGGAAAGATAAGTGCAAGCAAGACTGCACAACAGAAGTTACAGGATGAGGGGAGGGAAAGCCTAGAGTCCCCTGGTGGAACAAAGTGATTTCACTTGGAATCCTGGCCTGGCTGAGTTTCAGAGTGTACCAATATGCCGCTGAAGAGTAAAACTTTACCCCATCAGCTAGATGTTGGCCAGTTTATTAACTGTAGATGTTACAGAGGGATTTATCTCTCTCCAGAATGCTTAATGAGAGATCCCAAATTACAAATCCTCCAACATGATTCCAAACTCTCAGCTCCAGGTCCCTGAGTACTGTGGGGCTGGCTGTTTGCAGATTAGCTCTTTGCCAATGTTTGTTTTGTTTTCCTATGAACTCAAACTTACCTCCTCCAGGAAGATTTCCTGAGGGATCCCAGCTTAAGAGAAGACATCTTCAGTACAGAGGAAATTTACTGCTCAGGAATAGGCTACCTGGCTATGATACTCTTCTCTTTGTAAATCCGGGATTATTTTCTCATTGTCTCGTTGTGTCTGTCTGCACAGATAGCTCGGCAGCCTTCCGTGCTCCTCTTCTCCAGGGGTCTCCCAAGTTCCTACTGTACGCAGAAGGCACTTGGCCAAGGCCGACTGGGTTGGCCCAGATAGTGATGCCTGAGTGGCAGGTCCTTGGCTCATCCATCTGAAACTCAGGACCTCTCGGGCTGACTAAGGAGCAGGACTATTGACTCCAGGACATTCTTGGCTCTGTATGAATGCTTTGTGTTTAAAAGCAGGGTTGGTTCTTTTTTTTGGTGTCCAGCTCAGTGAGGACACAAAGCCCCACTGTCAGCATATTTTTAAAGTTTCTGCTTGTTTTGGATGTCACTGTCGGGTCAGAGTCCCCAGACGCAGACTTGCTCGCTTTGCCCAGTACCATCCCTAGGGAAAGGCCAGGTAGTGAACTGAGTTCAGGCCATGGGTCAGTGCTTAGTCGGAGAAATCAGGACAGTTTGGGGGTTTATGTGTTCTCCATCCCCCCAGTGTCGTGAACCAAAACAAAAGAATGCATATGTTTTATTCACAGATATTTAATACTCCTCCAAAAGCAGTTTGGCCAGTGCCCATTGACCAAGAAGGTTTGCAGATGTGAGTGGAAACAGCGCTCTGGGTTTCTGGAAGGCTGTCTTCTACTTTATGTCACTTTTATCCTTAAGGGTGCTGAGTCATTCATTCATTCATTCATTCATTCATTCGTTCATCCATTCATTCGTTCATGCATGCATGCATTCCCATGTGGTCTATTTGTCAGACTCTGTGGGAAACACTAGAGACATGAAGGTAAGTGAAATAGACACTGCTTGTAACCTACTGGGAAAGTCTGAAATTCATCCAGGAAGTAATACTAAATGTTTCATTATCAACTGTGGTAAAGGACTTGAAGGGACACAAGAGGATGCTCTTGTGGAATACTGTAACAGGAATATTGTAAGAGGTTGTATCTGATCTAATATGGGGGGGACTTAGGGAGGGCTTCTCAGAGGAAATGCCATTTGAACTGAGCATCAAGGAGCAATTGATATTAAAAAAAGAAGAGGGCTAAGGCAGTGCTTAAGATATAAAGAACCCAGTCTTTGGAGGAACAGAAATAAACTCATCTGGGATAGACAAACGGGAATGAGAAGACAAGGCTCTGAAGCGTGAGCAGGGTGGACAACATGGGAATGTAGGAATAGCGTTGGGGACAGTGTTGGCCTTTGTTTTGGAACAAGGGAAAGCCATTTTATTTTGTTTTATTTTGTTTTGTTTTGTTTTGTTTTGTAATGGAAAGCCATTTTAAGCAGGGGATGAGAACATTAAGTTTGTTTCCAGAAGATTGCCCTGGTGAGACAATGGTGAGCAAAGACATCATCACTCAGGCTTCTTTCAACTCTCCCATTGCACTGTCTATTAAACCACCGAGGCCTGCTTCTATACCTCTAAGCCAAAGAAGGTTACGCCTCGCAAGGCCCACTGAAAAGCCCAGAAGGCTTGCTGAAAGGTGTGGGGGCCCCTGGACAAACTCACTGCTCAGGCATTCAAAGCTGGGCTCCTTTATCCCATTAGAATTTGCCTCCACTTCCAATGAATAATTCCTTCAAATTATAACCCACGGGTCCCCGTGCCCGGGCAGGCTCATTTCTGTTGGAGCCCAGAAATCACTTTGACTGGAATCTGCCAATCCCAAATTAAATGATTAAACCAAAGTCAATGAGCTACTCAGCTGCTACACCCACAACAGCTTTCCAGCCCTCTGAACACGATGCCTTCCTCTGGAATGCAGTCGGGAGCTTCTAATGTGGGTTACTCAGAAAAAGAAAGGAGGCAAGAGTTGCATGGTCCCCAGATACTCGAATTTGTTCTCTGGTATTCATTCATGTTTATTCTAAGATTCAGAAGTTCCCACGATCTAGCATGTGTGAAGTCCTGGATTTACTGGGGGTGGGGGACAAAAAAGTACAACGAAAGACAGAAGTTCCCAGGATCAGTGTCTGGGGTTGGTCAGAAACTCAAAGTGGAATGTGACTGCTTAGTGAAAAGCATTTTAAACCATGTTTGGTCTTCCTGAGCACACGCAAATCTCTTGTGGATGATGCTAGCTTTCGTGCAGACTTCCCTACCTTCCTGTTTCCTGATCCCACTGGGACAGTTGAAACAAGCATTTAAATAACCAATGGCTTGCAAAAAGACACCTTAATCCTTAGCAAGTTTTGTCCTGAAAAGCAATAAATTGTCAATCAATGCAATTTACAAATGGCACGCCATTGGCAGGGTGCATCTGGGCCTTTCTCAGCCCTCTTCGGAGATGCAAGCCAGGGTTTCTCATCCTTGTGCGATCCAGGCGCTCGCAGGAGTGCTCAGACAAGCCACTGGAAATGCAGAATGCATGGGTGTCTCCGGCCCTAGTAATGAACTTAAAAGTATAAATGAGTCTTGTGTCGGAAGTAGCATTCTGCTTTCATCAGATGAAGTGGGTGGGCATGTGCAGTTTTATAGGTGGCTCCCTGGAGGAGCAGCAGCTTGACAAATGGGACCTACATGCCCAGCTTTGTCCTTGCAGACAGGGCTCCCTCCCTGTAGTCCACTTCCTGCCCTGTGAGCTGATCTGTCCTGACAGCTGCCAAATAAGTCCTCTCATTGCTGGGGCCTGTGCTGGCACTCCCACGAATCTTTCCTTTCAAAGTTCACCCTTCACTGCAAACATTGTTCAGCCTTGCTTATTCAGGGTTAAATAAAACGCCTTAACATTCTGCATAGGACAGGGCAGTTTCAACAAGCAAATAGGTTGGAATATGTAAATCTGTGCCGCCAGAACTTAACCACCAAATGTGAATCTATATTTACATGGAAGTGATCTACAAACAGTTCTGAAGAATACACAGGTCACACAGGTCACATGTGATATAATGTTTGAAGTTTACCTTTTAATTGACAAATAATAATTGTATATATTTATGGGGTACAATGTGATATTTTAATACAAATATACTGGGTCAGTTTTTTGTCACGGTGACAAATACCTGGGAATAGCTACTTAAAAAGAGGAAAAATGTATTTTGGCTTGTGGTTTCAGATGTTTCAGTCCGTGGTTAGCTGGTTCATGGCTCTAGGCCTCATTGGAAACAGAACACCACTTAGGGCAAAGCTGCTCACCGTGTGGCAGTCAGGAAGCAGAGAGAAAGAGAAAGAACCAGACACCCAGGAGCCAGGGGCAAGATGGAGTCCTCAGGGTTACACCCCGATGGCTCAGTCCCTTCCACTAAGCTCCTCTTCCTACATTTCTGTCACCTCCCAATAATTCTGTCAAAGTATGATCTCTTCAGTGGGTTGACTCATGTATGAAGTTAGAGCCCTTTTGATCCAATCACCTTCCAAAAGCCTTACCTCTGAACACATGAGATTTGGGAAGATATTTTAGGTCTAAACTATCACATATACACTATAGAATGGTCGTATCAGGTTAATTCACATATCCATCCTCTCATACGCTTATCATTTCTTTGTGGTGAAAACATTTAAAATCTACTCTCTTAGCAGCTGTGAAATACACATTGCAATAACTATAATCACATTGCCATGCCATTTGCATTCCAGTCCATGCCTTTACTGTTCTGTTCCTCCATATGAATTAGTTTGGGTCTAAAGACATGTTCACAGAGAAGCAGAGCTGGAATCCAGGCTAGAGTGTAATGGGAAATACTCTGGAGTGCCCTTCCCTCGGTCACTGGCTGTCCCATCTGCCACCCGCTGGTGGAGTAGCCTTGGGAAAACCACCTGACCTTTCTGTCCTCACTTTCCTTGTTTGTGTGATAAGGATAGTACTGCCATGCTCTTGCAGGGTCATTGTGAAATTTATGTACTGGGTGGTACACGGGTGAACCATGAAAAGTTGTAACCTAGTATAAAACTGTAATAACCGTGTTATTATATCACATAGTTTTTCCTATTCTTCCTCCCACTCTCCCCAGAAACAACCAACCAACCAAAGTTCAGGGCAAATCAAGCATTTGTGATGGCAGGCCTAACTGAAGTCTGGGGCAGTATCTCGGGACCCATGTGGGGGTACCTCTGCAAGTTCCTGTGCTGCATCTTGGCTTCTGTGGACCCCTGCCGTGCCCTGCCTCCTGTGGGAGGAGGGAGAGGTCAGTATGAATTCCCGGAGGCATAGTGTGCTGCATATTCACATCCATTCCACTGACAGTTTTCGTCTGTCTGCCATTTTTGGAGTGTCTGAAAGATATTTATGAGAGTGCCCTGACTCTGATAGCGTCTTTCTTACACCAAAAATTTCTGGAAGCACAAACCAGACCCTGCCAGTTCTTTTTTTGGTTATACAGTGACTTTCTGGCAATGAGTAAATGCGTCTGTCGGGCAAAACCTGCGGTCCCAGGGCTGCTCCCAGCTAGCTGGCATTCCTGGGATGCCATCTCAATTTCTCTGGACCTCATTTTCCAAAGTTAGAAGTTTTCAAAGAGTGTCCATAAAAACCTTTGGTCGGGAGAAGAGTAGAGATGGGCTTTGTGATGAGGATGATGACGGTGATGATGATGATTTACTATTTGGAGCTTCTCTGTGAAGTTTGAGCTAGAAGAAAAAGCTGCAACGTTGCTTTTGTCTAGCACTAATCTTCTATTGCCTGAGAAATTCCCCAGAGCCCTCTGAAATTCATACTGACATCCATCCTAGGTTTTTCTTCTTTTTCCTTCAAAGCTCTTACCTGCGGGCAAGTGTGATTAGAAATCCCACTGATTCAGAATTCTCAACTCGATCCATCTCATCTAGGAAGGTTTCTGTAGAAAGCAGCAATGACCAGGATTTGGCCGGATGAAATGGGGACCAGGGCTGGAATTCTCAGAGCACAGCCAGAGAGTAGGCACAGGCCTGACACTCGCAGGCCTCCCTTGAGCCTTCACTGTGCCAAGATCCACAAGGTGTCCCGTGTTTTGTCTTCGTGACAGTTTTAATTGAAATCAACAAACTTCGACATACATGGAGAAATGGAGAACTCATTTTAAAACACCCCACTCTGCTCTTTTCAAGCAGTGACATCATCTGCCCCTCTGTGGCTGTCAACATCCTATGAGTGCTATGGAACCAAGATTGCTGTGACTTTGCAGGGTGAGTCAGGAACAAGGGTGTGCGTCCGGTGAACTGGAAGAGGGTGTCCCAGGGAAGGAGTCTGTAGCAGAATGAAGAAGGTCCCCAAATAACCTCCTGACCCATTCTACCCACCCATTATAGTGTACAGAAAGAGCAAGAGCATCGCTCATCTAGAACCTGTGCTCTCCCCGCGCGTGTCCAGCAGTGAGTTGCTCCCACCACGCAACACTCTGATCTGACCTTCTTATTCACCAAAAAGTCAACGAGCAATGGGGAGCTCCTGTGAACATGTGGAGCCTGGTGGAGGTATCCTTAAAGCTCTTCTGAAACCGCTTGCAGGTCCTCCATCTCTCTATGCCTTCTCTCTTCCTCCCAGTGACACTGTTGTGGTTCATACAATTCCTGCCTTGTCCTCCTCTGCCACAGGGCCTTGCTACATGATCCTGAGTGCCTGGACATGAGCTCCGGGCTCTGAGTTGGCACTCCAGCACTCTTCTGAAGGCAAGAGGCAGATTTCTCAGGAAACATTTAAGAGGAGATTAGTTTTCTCTGTTTTGAATTATACCACACGAGGGGAGACACTAAAACAAAGTGTTATAAAAGGCTTAAGAGAAATCCCAAGACCAAAGCTCCTTAAATATGGTCTTATGACCTAGTTGGAATGTGGCACAAGTTGCTTTTTTTGGTTCAGCTATTTAAAACAATTGTGTGACATCATTGTTTAGTCACTGGCCTGTGTTTATCCCCAAGGCAATTCCTAACAAATGGAGTGGGCAGCTGTGAGGTGCTGTTTCATACACTGCACAATAGGAATCGTGAGCAACTTTGCTAATTTACAGAATGTGCAATTTCCTCACACAACAGGTTTTGGTTTATCCAATCAGTACAAACGAAAACCTCAGAAGGGAAATGAAGTCTGGTTAATCACTAGTTCCTTTTAAAAAATGGAGCTATTTAGATTTTAAAATAAACTTTCCTTAGCTGCATCTTACAGGTTTTTCTTTTTTACATTGCAATAAGTATCAGACTTACAAAAAATGACAATAGTGTTTAAAAACTCTTGTGTACCCTTCACCCAGGTTTGCCATTTCTAAAATAACATTTTATATGATTTATTTCTCTCCAGATTTTGCTCTCCTCTTTTTTGTCCACCTCTTCCTCTTCCTCCTCCTCATCATTTGATCCCACTTGAGAGTAAGTTTCAATCATCGTATTCCTTTATCCCTGAATATTTTAGCATGAATTTCCTAGGAACAAAGATATTTACTCATTGTAGAGTGTGATTGCAAAACCCAGAAATTTTAATATAGTACTATTGTCTCAACTACAGGCATCTTTCAGACCTTGCCACTTATCCCGAAAATATCCTTCACTGAATTTCTTTTCCTGGACAAGCTCTCACAGTTTGTTACACGACGTGCTTTCACTATCATTTACTTCTAAATATTTCGTCAATTCCATTGTGAATTCCTCCTTAACTCATGAGTTATTTAGAAGCTGTTTTACTAGTTTCAAAAAAAAAGTCCTAGGTATTATTATTGTTGTTGTTGTTTTAAATTTCTTTTCATTGTTTCTTCAAGGGCTGGGGATTTAGCTCAGCGGCAAAAGCGCCTGGCTGGCAAGCGCAAGGTCGTGAGTTCGGTTCCCGGTACCGGAGAAAAACCATTGTTTCTTCAAATTTCATTGCATTGTAGTTTGGGAACATGATGTCTGAGAAGCTGTCATATCTGTTGAGACTGTCTTTGTGATTCTAGTGAGAGAATCTAGTGACTATGTATGTTTGAGTCTACTGTTGGGATTGAATTTTTTCTACATATCTACCAGATTTGTTGCCCTTCAAATCTTTTTAATACTTAATAAACTTTCTCTTGGGCCAGGGATATAGCTCAGTGGCATAAGCGCCTGCCTGGCAAGTGCAAGGTCCTGAGTTTGATTCCTGGTCCTAGAAAAATCCTTTCTCTTTACTTGATTATAATAATGTATTTTGTTGATTTTATTGATTTATTGTAGGTTTTATTGATTTCTCCTCATCAGTCTCTTGGCTTTGACTTTATAGTTTATAAGCTGTTAGCTGTATACAAGTTATTTAATGTATCTTGGTGTATTATTCCTTTTATTGTCTATCTATCTATTAATCAATCTATCTATATTCCAAGTTCTTTTTAAAATTTTATTTACATAGTACCTTTTTCATTCATTAACATTCAAATTTCTCTTGATTTTATTTTCATTGAATTCCTTATAAGAAGTATAGGAGATAATCTACTCACATAACCATTTTTGGTACATAGATGTGATCTTATTTTTATTGTAATTTACTTGAACTTCTGTCTTCTTTTGAATTTTCTCCTGATTGTAATATTATTTTATTTTTTGCTTTGTAAATTTCTCCTTTCATGCCTTCCACTACATCATTTCCATATGTATAGTATTTTAATAAATATAAATTTGTTTGTTGATTTTAATGGTTTCCCTCAGTTTTAAACTAATATACTTAATAACAAACTTTTCTAATAGAAGGTCACACTAGAGTTATTCAGAATTTCTATTCTTTTCTTTCATATTGCAAATGCTTCACTTGCACATGGTGTTTGAAAATGGAGTTTCTTTCTACTATCTTTTTTTGGGGAGGCAGGGATCAGTGCTGAGGATTGATCAGGGCCTCACACATGCTAGGAATGTGCTCTACCACCTAGCTACATTCCCAAGCTCCTTTACCCTTTTTTAAATTAAAAAGATCAACTATTAAATATGGTGGCTATATATGTCATTATGGTCCATAATTAAGTAAATTTACTGCTACATATTGTCAATCTCTATATTTATTATTGTATTTCCTGCCTTAGGTTCCCTGTTCTTAATAAATAGCATTTTAGAGTGGTTTTAGTGAAATCATTAACTTCATTACCGGTGAGAAAGAAGCTGTCTGCAGTGCATCGTCACTTCTGTGTAAGTAATGCTTATTTTCTCTCGGACTGTCCTCAGTTCTTCTGCTCAATGTTGATGCTCTGCAGTTTTACTTCCATGTGTCTGGTAGGGGTGGGTTTTCTTTCTTGATTTAGTTTAAGCACCCTCCTGTTCCTTTGGTCCCAGGACTTTCTCTTTTCCAATCATGGAAGTCTCTGCTATATATAACTCCTCAAATCCTGCTTCTTCTTCCCTTCCTCAGAAATCCTACTTGACATATGTCTTAGCTATTTGAATTATGTTTCTCATCTGTCTTCACATTGCTGTCTCTCTGTATCTTTGGCTATGTAAAGGCAAATTCCTCAGGACTATCTCCTACTTCATTAATTTTCTATTTAATTATGTTCAGTCTAGAGTTTATCCTATCTATTGAACTTTTTAAATTTAAGTTACTATGTTTACCTCAAAGATTTCAATTTTTTTTATAAACGTATAATCTTATTTAACGTTTGCCTATTTTTGTCTCATATCTTGTTCTTTTTAAAAGATCAAAAATTAGAACCCTGGCATTTGGAAAGAGGTCTGAGCTGGAGAGTGAGATGGAAAGTAGTTAATGTAGAAGATATTTACAACTATGAGTGTGAACAAGATCACACAGAAGTGAAGACAGATAGAAAACAGAACCGATAACTGATCCACGTGTCCTCCAAAATTAAGGCATTAGAAGAAAATGTTAAAAGAGAAGCAGAAGAACCATTAAAAATAAACAGAAAAAAGTGGCTTATGAAGTAGGAGGGAAACCAGGAAAAGCTTTATCGCAGCACGGAAAGGAAGCGTAGAGAAAACGATTATCAAGTTCTGCTTAGAAAGTGAGGAGTTGAGAGCTGACGTTCAGTCTCCGTAAACTCAGGAGAGTGATACAGGATGCCCATAATGCTTGATAATTGCTTTTAGCCTTTTTCTTTTCTTTTTTTTTTTTTTTTGTAGTGCTGTGGATTGAACCCAGGACCTCACACATACTAGGCAAACACTGCATCACTTAGATTCCTAGGCCTTTAGACTTCCTTTAATGATCTGGAAAAAATAGTGACATTATCCATTCCCACCAATCCCTGGCTTCAAGCAGCGAACCAGGATTTGTACTCTGCCCCAGGTGGAACTCAAATTTCCTTTGCAGAGATCAAATTCTGTCTTTCTCTTCCCTGGTCTCAATTCTGGAGCACAGTAGACTTCTGGTTTGTGGAAATGTATATTCATGAGTCTTTCTCTTCCCTGGTTTCAATTCTGGAGCACAGTAGACTTCTGGTTTATGGAAATGTATATTCATGGAAATGTATATTTTATTTTCTAATTTACATCTTATTGCTATAAATTTAGAACACCAAAATTATATCAAAGCATACATTTAAGAAGCCATGTTGATTGACTGGAATTTCCTTACATTCTTCAAACATCTAAATGTTTTGGCTGGTGTGGCAGTTAACTAGTGCTGTAGAACAAACAGCTCCCAAACTTAGTTGCTTAAAACAGCAACCAGTTATTTAGCTTAGGATTCTGCAAATCAGCAAGTTAGGATGGATAAGACGCACATGCTTCTGGCCTTCTGAGTTCTTTCAAGAATCCATGGTCAGTTCAGGAATTCTTTGTCTAGGGTTTAACTGCCTATCAGCTGAGGCAACAGGATTGAGAGTGTTGACTTAGCCGTGTGGTACCTTGTCATCTAGCAGGTTAACTTGAACTTGATCACACAGCAGCTGGTAGAGTACTGTGAGAAAATGAAACTCACAAGACCTGTAAGGCCTACCCTGGGAAATGGCACAGTATAATTTCTGCTCCTTTTTACCGATCAAGGCAGGTTTCTTGGTCAGACCACCTCCAAAAGGTGAAGAAATAGACTTTATGAAAGGATCTAGAAAGCCACGTTGCAAAAGGGTCTGAATACACAGAAGGAAGGAAGTGGCCTTCAGTTGTGAAATGGATTTTAATCAGATGCAAGGAGAAAAGATAGCTGTTCTACAGCAGTAAGTAGTTCTGGAGCTTTGCACAAATAGGAAGTAGTTTTTACGACCAAGTCCTACGGGAGCAGGGGTTCTGCATCTGACCCAGGAAGAGTGCACTGCTGACTGTCATAATCCAGGCGTGTACTGGGGACACACGAGACTCACAGAGGAATAGGAGCTGTTACTTGAATAGAGTGTTTCGGACAAGCTCTACTACAAGGCAGAGTGATCAGCAAGGGCTGTGAGAAAACCAGTCAAGGAAAACTCTTTGGAAAGAGGTAGGCTGTAAGTAGAAGGCTAACAGAAAGAAGCTGCAGATCAGAGACGCAAAAAACAAAAGGCAGAGACTACAGGTCGTGGTGCATTTGGGCCAGTGTCCTTCTTTAATTGGTAAAGAGGTAAGAAGGCTGAGAAACCCATCCGTCCTCAGGAGACAAGCGAAAAGAAACTTCTCCAAAAGATTCTTTTAAGTTAAACCAGAAGGAATTCATTGCTTTTAACTCAAAAAGCACTTGTATCAACAAGGATTCTGTACACTTCAGCAAAGATGGGCCCTAGCTTTGGGTAGT